ACATTTTTTATGACCATCTAATTTGGTTATTATTATCCTGTTTTAACATCCCATAATCGAATAGACTTATCATCGCTACTAGAAGCTAAAAAATTACCATCAGGTGAGAAGCGAACTGAATGAATATAACTAGTATGACCATCCTATTTTGTTTTTTTTTATCCTGTAATAGCATCCCATAAATGGATAAACTTATCTACACTACCAGATGCTATAGAGTTGCACCATCAGGAGAGAAACATACTGCATTGACATCATTATTATGACCATCCAATTTGGTTTTTTATCATTCTGTCTTAACATCCCATAATCGGATTGATAGATCTCCGCTACCATATGCTAAAGTAGTACCATCAGGAGAAATGCTTGCTGTGTTGACATAATTTCTATGGCCATCTAATTTGGCTTTTTATTACCCTGTTTTAACATCCCATAAACGAATAGACTGATCTACGCTACCAGTTGCTAATATAGTACCATCAGGAGAGAAGCATGCTGATTAAACTGAATCACTATGACCATACAATTCTGCTTTTTTATATCCTGTCTTTGTATCCCATAAATGGATAGACTCATCTGAGCTACGGATGCTAATGTAGTACCATCAGGAGAAAAACATACTGATTAAATTAGTCCTCTATGACCTTTCAATTAATTCTATTCGTGAATTTTCAAATTCCTCCATTTAAAATTAAATAATTTAGCTCCATTTAAGTTCACTCCACTTATATCTACATTATTGAATTCTGATTCGCTTAAATTGCTTTTTGCAAAATTACCCCCAACTAAAGAAGTGTTCATTATCTTTATTTTATCAAAACATTAGTTTCTTAACTCAATCTTCATTTCAACTAATAAGTACAAGGATTTTTATCCGCATACTATGAATCGGCTATCAATAGCTGTGAGATGAATTAAAAATTTTAAAAATGAAATGATCTTATTATTCTCTTGAATTTTTTTCATTATTTCTTTTTTAACTTCAAAGTATTTTTCATATGAAAGATTATTGTTTTTAAAGTCATGTTCTTTAATTTATTTGATTAAATTCAATATGATCTTTATGTTATTCCTTACAATATTTAACTTCTGTTCTTTATTATTACCTGATAAATTTTCTATATAAAAATGTATAATTCAAGTTGTTTTTGATTCTCAACGATTGAAAGATATCGTAAGCTATTTGAAATATTTTCTTTTTTAAACATTTCATCTCACTATACTAGCAATTTTTCAAAAGGGTTTTTGTCCTTCGATTTATATTTTTAAGGTACTTGGACTAATGGAAAGGTGATATTTTCAATGCGTTCATTCACAGCAGAGTATATTTATAATACGCCCTAAACCAATGCATTAAATAGTTAATTTTGTGATGATATTTTGTATGATATCAAGACAGTTAATTTTACAATTCCTTAAGATATTTAAGGTGATTTTATATTTGGAATTGAAAATACAAATACAGATGGCTAAGTTTCAATTAGAAACCTTTATTCGATGTTATACATTTTCATTTATTATCCTTCATGCCGTTGTTGTACTGGACCTAAATAAAATTAATGTACAGAATGTTACCTTGTAGCCCCAACTAATAATGTTTGTCTTCAATTCCATCAGATTTATATTATGTTAAATATGTTGAGTGTAGATCAAAATGTGAATATATAATTTAAGAGGAAAGCGAAAGAAGATTTAAAATAAAAATTAAGTACAAAAAGTACAATCATTAAACTCTTTGTTAGTCTGAAAATATTAAACCATCTGATAACAATAGATTAAGCAGAATTATTTTATTTTTTAATAATTCTTCATGTTAATTTTTTTTAAAAGTTGGATGGAAAGAAAAAATTAAAAAGGTCATTTCAATTTTTATTTAATTACCTGAAAAG